TAGAGTGCTATTTTCATGCACGCGAGCTTGAAAAGTAGCCCCCGAAAAATAAATTATATTTTTTTCCCTGCGACACACACACACACGAGGAAGAATGCAGCTGAGGAAGGTTTGATTAAGAAATAGAGAAGGAGACGGTGAGGGAGAGAGGAGAGATGCGGAAAGTGAGTAGAGAGAGAGAGCGCATGTGTGTTTGTGTGAGAGAGAGAGAGAGAGAGGGGGGATAAAGAGGCGAAACAGTTGAGGAGGAATTGATTAAGAAATAGAGAGGGAGAAGGTGAGGGAGAGGAGAGATGGAAAGTGAGTAGAGAGAGTGTATGTGTGTGGGTGATGTGCGATGGAGCAAGTGCAAGAAGGCGAAAGAGAAGACAGAAAGAGACAGAGCACACGAAAAAATATATAATACCTATAAATATATAAAATCTAAACGATATATATATATATATATATATATCAGAAGTAGATAATAGGGAATCCCCTAGATAATAGGAATTCCCTAGATAATAGGAATTCCCTATTATCTACTTCTGATATATATATATAATAATGAAACCAGCGTGACACACCACACGACACCTAGCAGGCTACATGAATACATGCAGACCGTGTCGGTTCTACCTCCATACCTGGCCGGTAAGGTGTTAAGCTCCACAGTCTGAAGGAGCCGTGCTCCTGCCTGTCCGAACCACATCGCCTTGCCGCCGACGAGCACGCCACAATGGTTGTTGATCTCGGCACCGTGCACTCTATCCCAGATGCTGCCGTAGCCGCCGCGCTCATCAAAGCTCTCCAGCAGCGAAGTCGGTCTGATGATGTTGGATCGCTGACAGGCGCGACCTGGTGGCAGAGAGTCGAAATAAATGTGGTTCTTGTTTTCGCCTGTTTCAACGTGAGATTCGGTTTTGAGGGAATTCGGAATTTGGAGAGTTAACTGTACACACATATATATATATAGAGATCTTTCTCACCTGAATATCCTGGTTCGCAGACGCACCTGCGCTGCTTACAGAGACCATGGCCACTACAGCGCCCCCTGCAGGCAGGGCCGATGTAGACATCACTCAGGGCGAAGGTGCTTATACGTCCGACATCCTTCTGCCACCAGCGCAGCTGAATCCTCCTGTAGAAGAAGACAAGACGCAATGTAGAAGCACGCAAGCACGACACACGGGGCTGGGATATGTGCAACTAGCCTAGCAGCCTCCTTTATTTCTACCACAATCAATTCATTAATTAATTCGCAAGAGTTGCTTGTATGTGTGAAGGAGCATAATAGATAATTCTGTTGTTTATAAAATTTAAAATGTACATCAGATCATGTTGTGCAGGATTAATTATATTTACGTTTGGATGCGTGTCTGTGCAGTAGTGCAGCTAACCCATTTAGCCTGGGGGCAGAGCCACGTGTTTGGTGTGCTCCGGGGGAAGGTGACCGCCATTGACCGTGTATTGCATCAATTTTTTTCTGAGGCGCAAATACTCTATTTGCCCTCCCTCCCTCTAGCTACGGCCCTGTTGTGTGTGTGTACGTGCATGCGTGCATGCGTGCGTGCGTGCGTGCGTGCGTGCGTGCGTGCGTGCGTGCGTGCATCTGTATGAGGACTAGTCTGTCTGTGTATACCTGTTAACTATGGTCCTAGGCACCTCGACGACGATGGTCGTCCAGCCGGCGTGCGTCGCCGGGTAGTAGACTGAGCTCTCCGACGCTCCGGCTTGACATCCGGACCCCGCCTGACATGTCTCCAGCACGGACAGCCAGGTGGTGCCAGAGTCTGCTGAGTACTGCAGCAGTACGGGGGTCTCACACGCAAGAGCGGCCGTGGTTCGACAGCCAACGGCAATCTGCGAGTACGTATAGAGGTCACTTGAATGACGTCGGATATACAGACACACGTTTCGCAAGTATGTACTCCTGATCACACATCAGGGGTTAATAACGACAAAATTTGTTATTATTCGATAATGAAATTATTCAATAGTTGAAATTATTCAATAATAATGGCAAATTTTCCATTATTAACCCCTGCACATATCTACCTGCCGCGAACCGTGGCATAACATGGATGACCCGGCATTTAGTCACCCCCGTCAGCTAGTGGCTACTTCACTCAGACCGCGATCATAGATGCTTTATACAACTAATGTTCACTGAGAACGTAATTGCATGAGTGGCACAATACAGAAGATAACGGTCAAGCCTCCTACGCATGTTGCCACCTGTAGAGAGAATATCGTACCTTGAACTGAATGACGTCGCCATTCTTCAGCGTGATGTCCTTGGTGACGATGAATCGGTTCTTGAGGGAGGAGAGCACGAGCGTGCTGTGGTTGCTGCCACAGTACTCAGCACTCGCATGAGGAGAGTGCGCCAGCCACGCCTCGTTCGGTTCATCCTGCAAGCACAATACGTCGTCACGTGTCGTAACACCCCGCCCTCACAAGCTCCCGCACATAAGATATAAGATATAACAATTTTATTTATCGCTTTCAATATTAGTATTTTAACTAATATAATAAAAGATAAATAATTTAATAATAATAATAGTTACTATTAGTAATAGATACCAATATAATAACTAAATAAGTACATTAATTTTAACAAAGTGGATAATAAACAATACAGCGAAGGGATGGCGAAAAGACCATACGGTCATTGAGTCAGTCATCCCCTGGAAAAATTATAAAGTACGCGGTTATAAAGTACATTATCCACCAAGCCTGCAACCATGCACCACCATCAGATGTAGGCCACACGGTGAAGCTAGATATACGTCTGCTATGATATATATGACTGACTGCTAGGTCACATGTCTGTTATGTCATATCTCTGCTATGATAATATGTCTGCGCTGCGGCACCTCTAGGTCGTCCTCCATCTTCCTCATCGATCCGTCATCTTGCACGGAGATGTCGTTCATTGCCCACTGGTCCATGCCCGCTCCACTGTGATCCGGCTGCCACCAGCGAAACAACGACGTCTTCGTCTTTGCTTCCTTCGGCAGCTGAACTCGCACAAACCTACAGCAGCAACAGGGAGAACTAAAACACCTGTACACAAATACAGGAGCAACAGACCCTTTCAAACAATCCATGCGTACATACAGGAACAATAGGAACATCTCAAACACGCCTTTCGCTGCCACCAGCGGAACAACGATGTCTTCATCTTTGCTTCCTTCGGCAGCTGCACCCGCACAAACATCCAGCAGCAATGGGGACAACTAAAACACGTACAAAAGTACAGGAACAACAGACCCTCTCGAACCATCCACGTTAACAGACAGGAACAATAAGAACATCTCAAACATATGCACGAATATACAGCAACAGTGGGAAAAGCTGAAACATTCACATATAAGCATGCAAGAACAACGACATAAAGAAACTTATAATAAGAATCACTAGAACACTCACACTAACACACAAACAAATAAACAAACAAACAATAAAAAACCATATGTGGTCACCGCTCATTTCTGTAAGCCTCAGGTGGAAGTTCCTCCAGTAGATTCCAGGTGGCGCCAGCATCGTTCGTGTACTGCAGCACGATCGATTCGTCGCGACCGGTCGCGTTGTTGCAGAAACGCTCGTCCCCGCCCCCCACACGCAGGTAGAACTGCAGGTGGGTGAGGAAGGTCGTGTCGATGACAGGTGTGGTTAGCTGCCTCACCCCGGCCTGCAAACCACACGCAGAAAGATATAGACGTACTTATTAGTACTCATTTTTACTTACTATTATTACTTACTAGTAATTATTACTTATTATTATTATTAATCATTCTTATTAATTATTACTCATTATTAGGATACTTACTCATGTTCTACCTACTAGCAAACCACATGTAGATGCGCGAGACCTATACAGTTTGTATGGACCGACATACAGTTTGTATGCTTCGACATTTTTTCATTCTCTTAAACACTTTGGTAGGTACTGCATGAATACAAACTTCTGAAGTGACGTATCAGCCTAGCGAGATAAGCAGGCAGTTCCAGACAGTTTTAGTCGCCATCGGACATTTACAAAATCAATGTTCAGCATCGAAATGCTGCTAGTTGACAATTTAGTATGTACGTGCAAAACACATATGAACTGTTTGAGTATATGAGTTGGCTTGACCAATCTTGCAACTATATTCAATGGAACGTGGTTTTCTCAGTATATAGCGCGGATAGATTAATTCACGCTCATATACCTTGTACATGTACATCGAGCCACCAGAGGTCAGCACTCCGCAGCCTCGTTCGCCATCCATGATCTCGCCTCCCGTTATGTCGGTCTCATTCTTCGGAATAGGAAGCACCACGGGGGGCGTGTCCTCCTCTTCCTCCTCCTCCTCCTCCTCCTCCTCCTCATCCTCATCATCATCTGTAAAGAACGAAACACGACAAATTTTACTTAGCAGCACGTTTCGGCAACGTGACTTCATGAATTCTGCTGGGACGAACTATACGTAATGCTGCATGTGTCGGTATTTTTAAATACCAACCGAGAGCATTCTGAGCGAGGGATGTTACATGAGGCGATCGGACGAGACACGAGTTACACGAGGGTCCCTTCTTACTGACGTAAATCTTCCTGTGCTTGGATATACTCAATAATCTGGCTCCACTGCTAGATGCAAGCAGGGCCATAGTCTTAGGTGGAGAAGGGGCAGCCTCCCCATAAATTTAAGCGAAAATACAATAAAAGCTTGATATTAACTTCATTTGGAAGACACTATATAGTAAGTGTGAATCGACATGTCCGATAAAACTCTCATATCACACCCAAACCTGGCCACATTGCGCACGAAGACTCTGAGCTGTACCTCTCCCTGCCCATATAACTCAGCCGAGTCACGAAATATTGCGCTCCTCCTTAGGAATTCGCTCAGCCCTGACATTAATTGTTACTGTGCACGATAGATGTAGTACCTCGTTAAATAAGTTCATCCAGTTGGTAGAATAATAGATCTATCTTGGTAAATTTTTACTCAACCGTGTTGATTCAAAACGTACTGCTGACGTTTCACAGGAGGCAAATTCGAAAATCATCGATCGCGAGCCAATCAAAATCAGGCGCTGGATTAAGGCGGCCATCTGGATCCGCAAGACCCCGAACATCAACCGTGACGAGGGGGGTACAGACTAAGTCACGTGTTGACCAAGCTTTGACTACTACACCATCTGGTGGTCAAATCTGATAACTTCAGTCAATGCCTCCTGATAGGAGGCGAAACGTCAGCAGTACGTTTTGAATCAACACGGTTAAGTAAAAAATTAACCAAGATAGATGTAGTACCGTCAGGCGGGGGCGTCGTAGAGGTGAGGTAAAACTCCTGATCGCCCGTGTCAGGGGTCGCACCCTCAGGGGTCATCTCCTCAGTAACCAAGATGCGGCCGATCTCGACGTATGGCTTGACTCGGGTGGTGTCCTGCATGCATTAAATACATATACCATTATGCCTGCCAGATATTGACCAGTCAATAGTACCCAGATAACATGCTGACGTTAGGCCAACGTTGGCCCAACATTTTTTTGCTCGGCAGGCCAACGTTGGCCCAACGGATTTTTGCTCGACAGGCCAACGTTGGCCCAACGAATTTTTTCTCGGCGGGCCAACGTTGGCCCAACGTCATATTGACAACGTTGGCCCAACGAATTTTTGCTCGGCGGGCCAACGTTGGCCCAACGTCATTTTGCCAACGTTGGCCCAACGGATTTTTGCTCAGAGCGCCAACGTTGGCCCAACGTCATATTGCCAACGTTGGCCCAACGTCTGACAGCCAACGTTGGCCCAACGGCTTTTTGCTCAGCGTGCCAACGTTGGCCCAACGTCATATTGCCAACGTTGGCCCAACGTCAGACAGCTAACGTTGGCCCAACGGCTTTTTGCTCAGCGTGCCAACGTTGGCCCAACGTCA